CCGGGCCCCGCGCCCGAGGGGGTGTCCGCGGCCGGCGGGGGAGCCCGTCGGGAAGCGCCGGGGCCGGAGCGAGGGGTGGCCGAGAGCGGGGCTGGAGGGCGGCGGGACGGCCGGTCCCCTGGGGCGAACGCCGTCCCCGCGAACAAAGCGGGGAGCGGGGGCCGGCGGGCTCCCCCGGGGACAAAGCCGGCGGCTCCCGGCGAGCCGCGCACCTGCCTCCCCCGGAGAGCCTGCGCTGGCGGCGCCCGCCTCTTCGGATGGAATTGCTGGGCCGAGAGCAAGGGCGCTGCGGATGGGTTTGGCTCGCCGGCTCGCAGGGGGGCTTGCGAAATGATTTTCTCTTCGCCCTGAGCACCCCGTTTGCCCTGTCGGTGTTCCGTTTTCGTGCTGGGTTTAGGCTCGGGTTTTGAGGGGCTTGCGAGCCTTATGGGGAGCTGTGCACATCGTAACTGCTATTTTTGTACGAAGGAAGAGCAGCCGAGCAGTACTTGTGCAGCAGCACGAAGTAGAATTCAGGAGTTTTTAAAGCGCGGTGTTGAAGCTGACACAATGCAGAAAACATTTCTGCTGCTTGTAGAGCCTTACATCACCCAGCAAAATGAGAGTCATGACGGTGCTGGATGTGAGCTGCTGCTGTAGCGTTTGTTCCGCTAAAAAACAAACAAACAAACAAACAAAAAAACGCACCCTCCGTCCCAACCCAATCCTACAAACTCCTCTCCGATGTCCAGTGTGTCGTCCCCCGGCTCTCCTCCTCCTCCTCCCATATAGGCCAAATGCATGATAAGGTAATGGAAGACTGCTTGAGTAGTACGGTTGTGTGCCTAGTTGTATAAAACTGCTGTCCAGAATCACAGCGGAAGATACCGAGATCTGCAACAAGAGAGTACAGAATTTACATCTCCTTTATATCTTCTGCTCCACAGAAGATAATGTGTTCCGGCTGAGTATAGTATTTTTATTCTTACAGGGGCAGGCAGACTTCTTTATCTACCGCTGCGGGCTATCATCTTTTCTAGTGAGTGTTAATTTTTGCTGTTGAAATTATTCCTTTGATCTCATTTTACAGGCTTCTGGAGTAACAGTGAATGATGAAGTCATAAAGGTTTTCAATGACATGAAAGTAAGGAAATCTTCAACCCCAGAAGAAATTAAAAAAAGAAAGAAAGCCGTTCTTTTCTGCTTAAGTGATGACAAAAAACAAATAATTGTAGAGGAGTCAAAGCAGATACTGGTTGGTGACATTGGAGATACCGTGGAGGACCCCTATACAGCCTTTGTGAAGTTGCTACCTTTGAACGATTGCCGATATGCTTTGTATGATGCCACATATGAGACAAAGGAATCTAAGAAAGAAGACCTGGTATTTATATTCTGGTGTGTAAAAGCAAAGCTTGCTGTTAAAATTGAATGTTCTGGAGTTAACGCTGGGTGGCTGAATAACTGTTTTGTTGTGGTTTTCTTCTTTCCTTTAAAGGGCTCCTGAAAGTGCACCTTTAAAAAGCAAGATGATCTACGCAAGCTCTAAAGATGCCATTAAAAAGAAATTTACAGGTACGGACCTAAAAATGTTTTGCTCGTTAATTATAATGCCATTTCGATGTTGAGGTTCTCACAAGTACGTTGTTGTCCGTCTGTCTTTCAGGTATTAAACATGAGTGGCAAGTAAATGGTTTGGATGATATTAAGGACCGTTCAACACTTGGAGAGAAATTGGGAGGCAACGTGGTAGTTTCACTTGAAGGAAAACCCTTATAAAAAGACAGACAAGTGCCATCTGGATCTAAGGAGCTTCCATTTCTGCAGCTCGTTCAATTGGAATAGTATTAGTCTCCCTGTCCCCTTCCCTCCTCAAAAAAATAAGTCCCTTCCCTAATGCCCCTGAAGGAGATGTCATTGTTAAGCAGTCTACCAGTGATTGCCATTAGACTGTTTAATCCTGGTAGTTTTATGTAGGATCCAAGGAATGCTTTCACGTCATACTCTTAGCCAAAACTGATGTTGCAGGCATTCCTTGCAACGTGTACAATGAATGTGATAGTTAATGTGAATAGTCTAGCAGACAGCAAAGGGTAAGCTCATTGAATGCCTTGAAAGTATTGTCCACTGGTCGGATGGTAGACTCTATACAGTATTACTTACAGTTGCACTTGATTGCAGTTCCATGAGGCTCTTGTGCATTCATACACCTCACCTGCCTTGACAAGCCTATTTTTGTGACATGGCAGCACACAACACTATGCATTTAAAGCACTTTTTTGTAATATGTTTGACCCGCCCCCCCCCCCAAAGGAATGCCAATTAAGTTGCTGTAACTGTGTCATCAAATTATTGTAGTACCTCAGTTTCATTCCTGTTACATGCATATCTTTATAAATGAAGTAGCTGTTATGATGCCTTTTGTTTTCCATTGAATGTACACTACTGAACAGGAGTAGAAGTTATCTTGTTTACCATGTGAGTCTTGAAACACTAAATTTTTGTAAAACATCAGTCATGGTGGCAATTTCTGTATTAAAAAGAGCCTTAAATGGAACATTGTTTTTTGAGATCAAAAACTGGCCACGCTGCAATAAAACTTGTGGCTTATTACAGAACGTTGCCTTGTTTTCATTGGAAAATAGAGTTTTTAAGTATGTTTAAGCATATTTCAAATAACTTCTGTGGAAAGTATTGTAAACATAAACAATCATTAATCTCATCTTAAATAATGCAAGTTTTTCATTCCTAATCATGATTTAGGCACTGCTTTACAATACTTTGTGGCTCTGTTCTGATCATTTGATAAAGGACCTGATCCTAGTTTACTGTTAAAAGTAAAGAAGCTACCACTACTAGAGACCATTAGTTCCATGAAACACTTGCGTCAGAAACTTAAAAATACGAAGTAATTAAGTATGCAGTGTGTTTTGTACCTGAATGTTCTTAAAGTTCTACATGTCAGAGTAAAACCTTGCACGAAATCTTACAGCTTGCCATCTTTTTCAGTAAGATGATGTGTAATGACAGTTATATGCAGAATATGAAGCCGGTAAATCACTTTTGTTTCTTCAGTGTTGCAGTTAGGATGGACTTGGTACAAGAAATAGGCTAAATGAACTGTTCTACTTGTTAGCTTCTATGTAAATAGAACTGGAAAGTGTTTGCCACTACCGAGGCTTGCATCGGGGACATGTTCTGGCTGGGAGCCAAATAATGCTCTCCTTATAGAGAATTTGATCTGCTCTGTGTGAGCAATCCTCCGTTAGCCAGAGCTATTTATGGCAAACACATGCTTTTGTATCTTGTCATCGTTATCCACAAATGGCAAAACTGGACATGATTCTTCTGGTATGCATAAAGGAGTGCTGTTAGGCAGCCACTTGCAGCTGAACTGTACATGCTGCTAGAAGGAATGCTCTTTATCATTACCTTATTTTAAAAAGTTGGTAGAGTAGAGCTGTGGATCTGTTAAATACGGGCCCTTTATGTTCAGTCCATAGCCCTTTTTCAACAAGGAAGCGGATAATATTCAAAATATTTTGGGTTGTTTTTTTTTAAATAGTTTAAATAACCTAGTGGTACTGTGTTTAGGCTCTCTTGTCCTGTAGAACTTTAAGACTTTGTCTCAGGCTTCTGGCTATCCCTATGACTTGCACACCTCATTGTGTTAGCTGTTGTATGTAGACTAAACTTTACTAGAATTTAACTAAAAAGGCATGATGACCACTGACTTACTAAGTGTATTAATGAGTCTTGGTTTTGTTCTGCAAAACTCTCCTTTCAGGTACCTTTTAAGGTTGAGAAGTAACTGATGGTATGCATGTTGTCTAGATAAAAAAAAAAAAAAATCTTTTTATTCCTCAAAATAGTCTATTTCTGATTATTCACATTGTGTGCAAAGCCCAGTTTAATGTAAAGATCTACTTTGTGCTTTATGTTTGACTTGAGTTCAGTACAGTATAATGAAATGATCTTTTAACTGATTTTTCACAAGGTATAAATGGTTTCTTTTCAAAAAGCCAAAACTGAAAATCTTAAATTTTAATAAACCCATTTGAATTTCATTTTAGACAGTAAACTTTTTTAAGCAGTACTGTGTTTAAATTTATGGTTTGTCTCTACTGCAAACAGTCTGGAAAGATGTCTGTGGCTTCTAAGTTGAATATTAAAGGTTAGTTTTGTGGTTTTTTTTTAAACTAGCTTAGGTGTATATTCACTCAGTCCAAGTAGATATAAAATTGAAGCACAAACTGTATTTATGTAAGATTCCTACCAAAACAAGTTTTGGATCCAGAAGGATCAGCCTGCCTTCAGTTTGTTCTTGAAATGACTGACTGACTGACTGATGTGAGGTCCAATTCAGATGGCTTGCTTTAAAAAAAAAAACAAACCAACAAAACAATAAAGTGCTACAGAACTGTTACTGTTTGAATTATAAAACAAATGAGAGACAGCTGGCATCTGTTCCAAAATGGTTTGTCAGCTGTTGTTTTCTGTCATTATGCAAAATGGTGAGGGCCTCATTGTGATCAAGAAGTGGAGGAAAATCCTCTCAAGTTGAATATCTTCTGTGTATCTCCGTGTAGATGTGACTTTTGGGTATCTTGGCTTCAGTTATTTTATTGATAAAGAAATGTTAAATAAAATTTTCATGAGAGTAGCTTGTGCAGAAATGGCATTTTTCTTCTTCTAAAAAAAAATACTTCAAAACCAGCAGTTGCTTTGTTTGATTTGGTAAATTCTGGAAGAGGTATTGACATGCAGGTTTGATTTCTCCAAAAAGGGAAATCGGTCCAAGACCGGGGTGAGTAGGTGAAGTTTATGCTTGTGGCGATTTCAGAAATGCAAAGCTTAAATTTATATGGACTTGAGTGTAAGAATCACTCCTAGTCAGATCATTAAATGGATTTTGAGTATGTTCAGTTAAACCCAAAGTGTTTCCCTGAGTGGAAGAGTCTTTTTCTCCTGTACCATTCCCTCAGAAAGAGTGATGGAATACAGCAATTGCCACAATTTGATAATAAGCTTTACTCTCTTATGCCAATTCCAGTATAAACCAAATTTTCATGTCTGCCTATTTTTTTATAAACTTCTGCAAGTTCCCCTTAGTTTGTGGTGGCAAGTTAATGATTGTAGAGTGAAAACACAGCACTAATGGTGGATGAAAGATCATCAATGTAGCACCTGTCTATAAGTATTGAATTTCTTTGAAATATTTCTGATTTTGAAAACCTGGTATAAATAAAATTAATTTAAATGTCTTCAGATGTTGAGTTTGTTTGTGTGCTAGGCAGCACCTACGCTAATCGCTTTGCTGATGTCTTTGGATTGGGAGCAGCCCAGACACTCTGAAAGGAGAGATCATGGAGTAAGTGCGTGGAATACGTGCATTTTTGTAATGGGTTTCACCTACAGCCCGTTCAGTTCAATACCTAGCTGTAGAAAAAGCCAGCACCAGTGGCTCTGGAGGTAGGCTTAAAAATGTTTTTAGTGGCTGGTGCCGGATAACCTTTTTCTTGTGTTGGGTCCCAGCTCCTATGTTCAGAAAATTGGGTGTGGTTTTTTTTTTTTAAAAGGTAGCAAAAAGTACCTTTACACTGACAAATCATTTTTAATACTTGGAAGAAAGTGAGCTGATGCCATGTGAAAAAGGTGACTCTCCGAAGAAATTATCAAAAGATTATCCTTTTGGTATCAGTGGTATCTCTCAATGTAAAATTTCTTGGATCTAGGAATAGCTTAACTGGCAGAGAGTTAATTTTGTGAACAAAGCTGTCAAGAAACAGCTTCATTGGATTCTCTGGAGAAGACAGGCTTTTACACTGTGGATTATCAATCTTTTTAGTGTTTACCTCACATAAGCTTTCTATGTGGCTATAGGGGACATATATGAGAATATGCATTAAAAATGAGTGAAAGATGTCTTTCTGAAATTAAGTATTTTTATACAAATTACTGCTTAGTTAAAAAATGTTCTATTCTTACTATATTCATATCTGGTGCTTGACACCCTATTGAATTTGGGCATTTCCCTGCCTCACCTCCTCTGCTGTTAAATCTACAATAACCCCCATACGTCTTACTATTCCTTGCATTGCTTATTTATGCAATCTACTAATAACATCTCAAAAAAAAGTACTAAAGTGAAAAATTAAAGCCTTTCATAGGAAATTCGAATAGGTAACATAATTTATGTTGTTTATTTGATGATTTGATATAATTGTCTTTTTATATTGTAAAGCTTACAGCAAAAATATGTGCTGTTGGGAGGCACTGAAAGCAATTTTGACATTGTCTTTTTAATATCTCATTGTAGATTAATATTTCTGTTGTCAGCTTTACTTCATAGTTACTTAGAAAACTAATGATTGGAAAAGAAGCTTGAAGGTGCCACTGACTATTTCAAAAAGTTTCTAAATGTCAATTCAGATTATAAAAATAAAAACAAACACAAACTTCAATTTCCTGCTGCTAGCTTAATTTTTATTCTTGTGTGAACAGGCTTAGGAATGTGTGTGTAGCTGTAATCATGCCTCTCCTCTTCCACCTCTTTATTTTTAAAAACAGCTGTGTCACTGCAAATCCCTACCATCTGCCCGCCATCTTCTGTAAAGCTTTACAGACAATCTCCACTTGTACCTTTTAGTATCTGTTTTTCCCCCTCTCTTTTCTGTGATTGTAGGGGTTTGATTTAGAAAAATTGAATGCTGTAATATTATGCTCCTCAAAAGCTTTTCTATTATGCAGAAAGTTAAAAGCATCAGTTACTCTCTGGTGAGCACAGCTGCAGGGTATACATTGGGTTGAAAAAAGAGATGTGATTTTGAGAACCAGTTTAGAGAGCCTTATTTGTGTCTGCTTCCTCTTAGGGGCAGCACTGCTTTCATCTGTGACCTTCTATTAAGGCTAATGTGAGAGCTAAGCTTTTCTTCCATTTTGGCTGTTTCAACAGAAAATTGAATGTGCATGTAGCAAACAAGGTGCAGGGAAGCAGAGGCAGGTTTAGAAGAAGCAGTTTTTCATAGAGACCTGTACATCTGGGGGGGGGGGGGGGGGGGGGGGGGG